TGTCAAGGCAATGATGAGCCACATTTCTTCTAGGAAAAATGTCAGTTAACGTTGTGGTGCTGTCCCTCAGATGCAATCTCTTCTGCTTCCTGGGTGTCAGAAATGAGCAGTGCTGGGCAGTAGCTCGGATGATTACAGTCTCTTGCTCAGAGGACATTCTGTCCCTCTAACTTGTCTGCCTCATGTTCCCCTGTCAGAGTATTTCTAGCTTAGAGATATGTCCCAGTCACTCTTGTCCCCAAGTCCTTCCTTTTGATACTGAAACACTGGTCTTCCTAGTAGCCTTTCCTTTCAGATGGTGTAATGTCTGCTGACTGGTGGTTCAGGTAGCTCAAGATGAGTCCTGTGAGAACTTGAAATGCATATAAGACCTATGTTACGCTTCTGCTTCTCAGAGATGTGTATGTTTATAAGAATTTGACTAGTGGAGTGGCTTATGGCTGGGTCTCGAGGAGCATAGCTTGTGGCCAAAGTCACCAAAGTACTAGGCCTACAGGCTTCCGCAGTTAGAGTAATTTTTTCCACTGGGTATGACTTGGTCAGAGCAGCAAAACATGTAGCTTATGACAGTGCGGTTTCACTGTCAGTTTAGCTGTTCCTGTTTCCTTTTCTTCCTGTCCTGCTTATCATATGCTTCTGTGTCTGAATATGCAGTATTTCTCCTGTCTTATCTACTCAGCCAAGTCCTGTGAGGCTTCCCATCTGCCAGGCAGGCTTTAGCAGCAGCAAAATACCTGGCCCTTTGCTAGATATTTCTCTGCTCCACGGGAGGGAATCTGGGAGGTTAATTTTGATCCTTGTATTCAGGCTTTGTAAAAGGGAGCTGTTTTGAATTGTGTGGGTGGAAATAAGTGAATGCACAACGTGTACCCCCACAGATGCAGGCTGGGCTGTTGCCTGGGCTCTCCAACGCATGCCAAGGCAGTGGGATGGCTTGAATAAAACATTTAATTTCACGAAGTAGAGATGTTGCAGAGGGAGAGATCTCTAGGCCTCCTTCCTTCTTTGAGCTCTTTTTGGGTCAGTGGCCCTTATACTCGAAAATATTTGTCCTTGATGTGCAGGACAAGAAAATACATCAGTGGGAATAAGGAGTAGGGGTTTTTCTTCCAGAAGGAGAAAAGGTACCTACAGAAGCACCTTTCAGTAGGGTCTTGGCTCTGGTTCTCTGTGGAAATAACTTGTCTTCCATGTCCAGTTCCCACAGAATGTATACGGAGGTCTACCGGAGTCCATCTCAGTTCCTTGCTGCTTTCTGGGAGTCCAGAGATCGCTCCTGAATCTCTCGGTTCCCTTCTGAGGCAGGGAGCTTGCCTTCCCCTTCATGTGCAATTTGCAAGGGTGCATCTCCTGTGTCAGCAATAGTGGGATGGGACAGGACCTTTGCAAGTTACGTGGAGAAACTGCAACAGGAACCTGCCCACTTGTGGATTAAATGGGACAGGGTGCAGGACCTTCCTGTCTGGTGCTGCTTTATAGTCTAGGGATGAGAGTGAAGGATCCCCTGAGCACGTAGACAGGCCTAGGTCTAGATTGCATGAGATGTTCACCAGGTTAGCTAGATTTCACCGGGCAGAAAAACCATTCAGTAAAGGCTAGACCAAGTTATGGCAGCTATAAAAAGCTCAGGTGATCAGCCAGCAACGAAATCTATTCTTGATAAGACATAAATCAGTGTGTTACTTAATATCTATCTTAGTTGGGCGAACACAGTGATGTGCTCTGAATTAGCTACTACTGCTCAGGAACTGTTTCTTAAGTCACTCAGCCACAGGGGTTGTATAAAAGAGAGAGTACTTTTGGCAAAGACAGAGTGAAATGGGAAATACTGTCTTCCTCGCTACAAAGCCACATTGTGGCCATGCCTTACAGTTTACATGAATACCTGTTTGTATACATGCTTTACTGCACAGCCTTTCAAAAGGAAAGAAGCAGTGGTACAGAGGAGAACCAGGGCATCAAAAGCTGCTCTTTTAATGAACCTGAGAACCAGAGGTGTGGCTGGGTCTTCTTCCAGCCCTCCTCTTCCCCAGGGAGATGCCATCTTTGCAAATGCATGGAAAAAGCACTCTTTCTTGCACCCCTTCTTGGGCAGTAACAATTCTTTCACTGTATGCAATTTGTATTTCAGGAGCATAACTGTAGTTCTGGGGGATTACAGCCAGCGTAGCATGGGATAGAGGGACCCAGGTGGGAGAGGGCTTGTGTCCTCCTCTTCTTCCAGACGAGAGTTTCTTTTACTAGTCTTTCTCTGCCCCCTTAAAACAACTGAAACCAGAGAACTGTGAGAGGTTGACCTTAATATAGGAAGTTTCCCTCAGAAAGAGTTGGGCAATTGCAGTGTGTTATCTAGAGCAAATGGGCTGTAGACTTCCTCTTCCTCTTGCAAGCTGCTGTGTGAGCAAGACCTCCCCTGCATGGGCAGCTGAGCCCTACAACTCACAAGCAGAACAAGGGCATCGTCCCTTGTCTTGTTCACCAGCACAGCGTGCCTGGGCCTGAAGGTGTGCAAGGCTGTGCCAGCTGCATTCAAAACCTCCTTGTTTCTGTTTTCCAGAACTCCTACTGGCAGTGCACCTCCTGCTGCTGGGGGCTCCCCTGCCCTCCGGGGGTAACTCCTTTTGCTCCTTGAAAGGTAAAAATCTCACAGCCCTGGCTTTGTGTTGTGCGCAAAATGGGCAGATGTTTGGGAGTGCTGCTCCTCTAGGCTGGGCTCCTGTCTTTCCTGCTCTGACCTCAGCGCTGCATTGAGCACCATGCACGCTTTAGGTAGATCTAGGATGTAGCTGAGCTGCCTGACTCACAGTTGAGGCTCAGCAGCCTTCCTACGAGGAAGCCTCTGTCACACCAGCTGGAGGGCTTCAGACTCCCAGGGCAAGAATGGACACTTTGGGGCAATTAGTTCATTCCTTTGCAGCAGGAGATCTCTGCCTCAGCCTACTCAGTGCCATTAAAATGGACTTTCCTGCATTTTGGCCTCCCTGGCCACCTGCTTCATTCATATTCCCTTTCCAGGATATTTAGTTGTCCTGCAGCAGTAGGGAAGTCCAGACATAGAATTAATACTAACGTTAAGTCCCCTGTTTCACAGCCACTACTGGATTCTCACTGACACAAAGATGTAACCTGAAAATAATCGATGGAATTTATGTGTCACCCATCTTCTTGGGGCTGGTCAAATTGCTTCCTTTTCAAATGCCGGCAGGCCCTGGCTGGGCACTTTTGTAACAGTTTTCTGGGTGGAATGGCACAGATGCCAGTGCGATTGTTGCAGTTCAAATCACAGAACTGAAATGTTTTGGGGAAGGACCTCTGTAGGTCTTTAATTTGACCTTGTGTTTGAAGTGGGGCTGTCACTAATGGTAGGTGAGGTCAGCTGTGGCTTTATCTAGCCAAGTGGTAAGGATGAGACCCTTGGCCTCTCTAGATTCCTGTTCCAGGGATGCACAGCCCTTCACCAACGTCCATCCTGACTGTCCTGCACCTCCATTTGTGTCTTGGCCCTTGTTGCCCCATTTGCCACTACTGAGAAGAGTTTGCTTCTGTCCTCTTTGCAGCTTCCCTTCCAACAGCTGCAGATGGTGATCAGATCGTCCCTCAGCCTGAGGGCTACCCTAGCCCAGCTCCCTGACCCGCTCTCTTCCAAGGATGTGCGCCAGGGCTCAGACCCTGGTGGCAGCACTCTGCTGGTCCATCTCCAGTTCTCCATGGCTCTTCTGAGTTGCACACGCTTTTCAGGTGCAGCATCACCAGTACCAAGCAGAGGGGATATGAACTGTCCTTGCTCTGCTGGCTGCGCTCCTCCTAGCACAGCCTTGTTTTCCCTGTTCACAAGAGGACACTGGCAACCTTCTCTGCTGAGAAAGGCCATAACTTACCTGCACCATAAACTGGTGCAGCTTTTCTGTTTGGTTGAGAAATTGTGGTATTTGCTGCAGCTCTGCATACTGGGGCATCTGGCAGGCCTAGATGGGAGGACTGCAGGATGTGCAAGTAGCCAGTTTCTTCTGACAGCAGTGCCAGTTGTGTGTCTGCTCTGATGTGCTTTCAGCATGCTTTTGCGCACTGATCAGTTGTGGGGCTTAGAAACCTCACAACTCCTTCTTTGCAGAAACCAGTGCCAGTTCTTAATAGCAAAGAAAACCCATCATGTCCTTGTTAAACAACCCAAAGTGAATAAAGGGAGGAGACAGAAACACATGTGATTTCTTATCATAACATGAGTGACTCACCAGATGTTACGACCATGACCTAAGTGATGCCAGTGCCACAGTACATATCTGGGGAAATCCCATGTGAAACCTGAGCAGAGCAATGCTGGAGCTGCTGTCCTGGGACTGCGGCAGCAAGAGGGACTGTGTGCTCCATGCATCCGCCACCCTTTCTTCTCAGGCTGAAAGAGCACAAGAACCGAGGGGCGTTTATAATGCTGCAGAGAGGCAAGAAAACTAGCTGCCACAGCCTGCAATATTTTTCTGGCTAATGTTTCCCCATACGGAGAGTCACACAGCAAAGTGGTCTCATCTGATGCTTTGGCATGCTGCAGCAAGTCTCAACCTCCAAATGGAAGCATTTGAACAAGCATGCAATGCTGTGCTGGCTCCCAGTCCCAGTGTCTAGGAGTAAATGAGAATCCCAGAGGATGGATCAGCTGAAGGCACTGGTCCCCTCGCCAAGCCTGAACCACCTCTGCAACCCTGGATGGGCTGGGGAGCGCCCCTGCCCTGGAGCTGCTGCAGGGCAGGGCTACCCCATCTCAGGCCTGCAAGGCACTGGGTGACATGGGAGCCTGACAAGCCCCTGGCCAGCACAGAGCCTCCACCACTGCTTCCCCACCACCGCCTGCTCGAGGAAGGGCCACAGGAGTCGGTGTCAAGCTCCAGGGCGCAGCTGGGGCACGTCTGAGTCTCTGAGCTGTGTTGCAAGTGCCAAGAGGGAAGTGAGTCACTCACCTGCGCGCGCGCCCTCCTTCCCGTATGAGCTTCTTCCCAGAAGGACGGCTCAGTCCTGCTGGTGGCTCCGCTTGCGGCAGGGACCTGGTGGGCTGAGTCTGCTGGGCCAGGTGCTCTGTGGCTCAAGGTAAGAGGCTCCTTTCCCTTCTGCTTGCTCTCCCAGGGTGCTGGCCTCCCTCCCCAGCTCCACAGGCTCCTTCTGCATCTGGCAGTTTCGGGACAGGGGCTGGGTGTGCATCCCCCCTGGGTCTCTGAGCTGTGGCATCTCAGACAACTCCAGGGGCTTCAGAGTGACCCTCATCCTCCCCATCTAGGAGTGCTGGGAAGATGTGTGCTTGCTCCCCTTGCGCAACAAGCAGTGATGAGGTGCATCATGACAGCATGAGTCAGGCTGGCGCTGCCATTGCCTTTGGGGCTGTGGGGATGGGGACTGTGCTCATCTGGGTCCTGTCCCATCCCTGGGTGGCAAGAATGACCCCAACTGCTTGGATACTGCAAAGCAAGATGAGGAGCCCTGCCACGGACCTTCCTCCTGCGAGGAAGAAGAGGCAATGCTCGGAGCCTCTCATGGAGCCCAAGTCCCTCATCCTGCTGGTGCATAGCCCCTGCCCTTGCCCCTGCCAGACTCGAGCAGGGGGAAAGGGCAGAGCCTGCCCAGGGCAGAGGGCAAGCAGCCGCAGTCAGGAGGTAACTTGCTGCAGTGTAGAGCAGTGGGAGCAGAGTGACCCAGCTGTGGACAGCTCAGTGGAGGTGTGGGTTTCCCCTCCGGCAGAGCTACAACAGCCTGGGGCTGCAGCATACAAATCCTGATGCAGTGGCCCGTGGAGATCATCCCTCTGCCCTGTGTGGCAGGGCTGGACATGGGCTCCACCTGCCAAACCCAGCCGGAGCCTGCCCTGCTCCCTGCTTCACCCGCTGCCGGCGAGGCAGCCTGGCTCCCAACAGCAATATTTCCTGCCAGGCTAGGTTACCCCAATGGCACCACAGCGAGCGGCAGACACTGTGCCCTGTCTTTGCTACTGTTAAATGGCTACCAGGAAGCCCAGCTGCTTGCTGCCCCAGGAGGGGCTCTCAGCCTTGGGAGTGGGTGTATTTCCCTGCCGAGCAACCCAAGCTCCATGGCACATTCCTGCAGAACTGGTAATAAGGTGGGGACATGTTGTGCTGGGCTCACAGGGGAAAGCTACAGAGTTCATTTTGTATTTCTTTCCTGCAATAAGCAAAAAGAAATTGTGCAGAGGGTGTAAGATGAGTAGAGGGAAACTCACAGACAGTAATGCTTTAGATCATCAGCTGCTCTGGCTTGAAAGGAACTTCATGTCCTTCCAGAGACCCATCCTGGCACTCTAGGAGACATCCTGGTGACAAGGACTGGCAGGGATCACACTCACCCATGTGCTGGTCCCACACACTGCATGCACCGCACAACTCTAAGCCTGGTGGCAACGGCTGGTGCTTTCACAAGCTCCGTGTCGGTATTTCATCTCGTCCTTGTTCCCTGCTCTTGTTGCTGAACAGGGCAGTGGATGGTGCATGTCGACTAAAATGCTGCTCCTCTCTTTGCACCCCATGGAGAGCTTTTCTCCACTAATACAGTGTGGTTTTGCTCTTGGAAAGAGATCTCTGGATATTTGCTTATACTACTACATTTTCAAAACCAAGAGAGTTTCTGATACCTGCAAAATTTGTATGTGGTCACCAAAAGTGGGTACGTTGCTAATGGGCTCCATCTCAGAAGGAAATGACCCCAAGGACACACGCCAGAGGCAGAGGGTGCATACAAGGAGACAGGGTGTGTCTTTCACGGCAGCATGCGCTTGCCATGGAAGTGTGGTGGGGTGCCAGAACCAAGGGGAACAACCCGCTGCCTACTGACCAGCTTGCGTCCAGCTTGCATACAGTTATCCCCAGAAAACATCATTTGGAAGAGCTGCTCCAGGATCCAGCATCCTGATAGAACAACCTGAAAGACTGTTAGTTCCCCAGCATCGCATGGGAATCAGTTCTAGTGAAAGAAGCTTATTTATTTTGTTATTAGATTGCAAGTTTGGTGGATAAAAGTAAAGGCATATTCAAGATTTTTCTTTTTTAGCTTGGCCTTGCAGGGCATTCAGTGTCGTCAGACTTTGTGTGCATCCTCCAGGCTGGAAGAGTGGTAAATAACACTGAGGACAGGGCAGTCAAAAACTGCCAGGACCACTTAATAAGCCAGGCCACTGCAAATGAACGCATCTTAATACCGGATTCAGTTATGGAGAGCAGGGGAACAGGGTCCCCAGGCTGGAAGGGACGCGAGCGGGAGGAGTGCTGGCTGCGGGCGCTGCACGGGGTCAACTGGACCCGCCAATGCAAAACAGACATGAGGCAGTTTGGGAGGGAGGGCAGGACTACACTCACCCTTTCTCTGTTGCCTTGGTACTGGGAGTGCTGAATCTGCATCCGCTTCTACTTTTCATGCTTTAAATGCAACAGCTGAAGATGGAGATGATGAGGAAGGGAACTCCCCAACTAATTGAGAGGAGGACAAGTGCAAGCCTGGCAAGAGGCTGATCTACATGACCAATGGGTTGTTCTGGGCATTTTTGTGAATCTCAATAGCTTGAGGCCTAACCTGAGCATTTGAGGCAAAGCTGGAAAATAAGTAAATCTGGAGAGCGGTGAGGAGGCACCGGCCCACACAGATGTGGTCGGATCCCAGCTCAGGGCAGTTAGAGGTGTCACGACCCCAGTGGGAGTGCTTAAATCAGAAAGCAAGGCTGTGTCACTACTAGAGCTTCCGCCCATCAGGTCTCATGTCTTTCACCACTGAACTTAGTATGTTTTTGTTGTTTGGTTCTCTGGGTTTTATGAAAGACCTTTTTTTGCTGCACTTCAGTGATGTGTGTGTGCCCCATCAGTGGCAGGGCTGAGCAGAGGAAGGGTGAAAATTTCTGATGAGAGCTCCTCCCCAGTCCAAAGCTTCCTGGGCTTTAATTTCCTCTAAGAACTTGGCTGCGGCAGGACAACAAGCTTTGTTTGGCCACTGCCTTTGCAAGTGCTGCCCTTCCCTCTGTGACCAGACATCCTCACTGGCTGCTCTTCCAAAGGCAGGGACTGGCTGCCAGCCAACCTCAGGAGCATGCTTTGTTTTTAATTTAAGCTCCCAGCAGCAGTCTTGCAGGCATAACTGGTGCTCTGTCCAGCCCATGAAGGGTCGGGTTCTTGGTCCATCACTGATGGGGAAGGGGGAAGGAGGGACGATGGCAGATGGCGGAGGGAAGGAGACAGCTGCAGCCTCCATCCCAGCACAGATCTGTAGCATCACCACAGGAGCCTCATCTCACCCTTCCAGGTCACCCCGGCATGGCTTGACAGAGCCAGCACCAGACTGTTTCCCTGGTCCCCTGCCCCACACAGCCAGCCCCTTGGTGCAGCCCTCCCTGAAGAAGAGCTGGGCTGGGCAAAGAAGCCCAGATCAGTGCTAGGGCTTTGCCTGCCCCCAGCTGGGGACATTCAGCCACTGGTAGGGACAGAGGGTGGGTTCTGGCACTGTGCCAGCTGGCCCAATGCTGCATAGCCCATTGCCTCAAGGTGCCTGAGGACAGGCAATCCAAAAGTCAGCATCTTGGCAGAGCAGTTCTGCTTGGCCCTCCATCAGTGCCCCATCTCCTCAGCTGATGAGGACGTTGCTGTGTCCTGGCTCAGAGCCAGGGCTCACCAGTCCAACAGCAAAAGCATGACTTGAAGGTGTCCCAGGGTCCATGCCAGCTGAGAAGTTTGGCTGGTGCTCTCAGTTAGTGTGGCCCAGGGGATGCAACCCTCAGCCTGTCCCTGGTGACTCTCCCAAGACATGAGACTACACCATGGGGGGTCTCCGGTGCTCCTCACAGCATGGACATGCCAAGGCCTACCACGGGCTGTTACAGCATTTCATGAGAAGAGTTAGGAGAGCCAGACTTCCCAGGGGAGCACCAATGTGGACTGGCCTCTTCTGCTTCTGCTTGGGACCATGCTGTTCCACAGCAGCCTTGTTGCAGGCTCAGGCACCTCTTGGTGCTGGTGATGGACTTTGTGGCTCCATTCCTATGTGTTTCATACTGAACCCAGGCACCAGTTTCAGTTCCTGCAGGTGTCTGCAGGTGTGAGGTTTGTGCAGGACATGGTGCAGGTGCTCCCAGATCGCATCTGCACTGTGTGCAGGTGTAAGAGCAGTGTCTTCAGGGAGGGCAGGTTAACCATCAGCTTAGCAGGGACCATGTGTGCAGCTTTGCTTGTCACTGGTGTCTCGCTGAGCACCCCACCAATTTGCATCATTGTGATGAGTGGTCTTCAGGCTGCCACAAATAATGGTGGTCATGATGTGAAGGTGAATGGGCCAGGCAAAGACCTGCCACGCTGTGGTGTCTCAGTGTCCGCTGAAGGTCCCTGAGATAAAGGGTCTTGGGATGGCTGGATTCCTGGGTCTGTTTAGCCCCAACACAAGCTAGGGAATGAGTCTGTCCATGGGATATATGAGTGTCCCAGCACTTCCTTTCCTTGAAGTTTTTAAGTGAAAGCTCTTCTGGCTTCTGCCATTCATCTGTTTGGAAGAAGGATGCTCAAATGCTGTCTAATCCCAAATCTACCTACGGACATGGAGTGGATTCTTATTCTGCCATTAGAGGACAATACCAAGTCTGCCCTCTTTCAGGATCATCAGGAGCAGAGATACTTTAAGAAAACAGCCTTAAGGACATGCTGGATCTTTGCTGTGGTTAATTGCCTTTCCTCTTCAGTTTATTGTATTTCTCAATTCCTTTGATGACACACATTTCCTCTTCTGTAGTGACTCCGCAGTCATGCTGCAGTTGCTCCCATTCTAGCATCCTGCTCTTGAGAGCTGCCTGTGTGGAGACCTTCCAGGCCCAGGTCAGAGAAAACACTTGAAAGAAGACTGAGCACCCTCACTGAAACATCCACCACTGCTCTACTAAAGCTGAAGATGGACATACTGTGCTGAATCCTTTTGACAGTGGTAAGCAGGAAATATACTTTATTAGTACTATTCCTCTTGGAATATACTTTTGCTGATGGCATAGCTTGTGATAGTGTGGTCTTTGCACCTTGCAGCCATGAGCCAGTAAATCCTTATCAAGAGAGCATGGCCCATGGGAGAGAGTGTAGATCTGGAGCAGAGTCCACAGTTGCCATGGCCATGCTCTACTGCACAGCTGGTTACTTCCACCTCTAGCTCTGCATACGGTAGAGCTGATACAAACCACTTGGGATTATCGTCTAGTCTACTCATGTACAAGGCAGTGGCTTGGGGTAGGTTGCCAGGGATTTTGGTAATGCAGTACAGCCTGCTGCAGCAGAGAGCAGGACCCACACCCGACCACAGCGCCTGTTCTCCTTCCTGCTGGCATGACAGTATTTATGTGTTTTATAGAAAGGGGAAACGCTTCAACAGGAGAGGCTGAGTGAGATCCCCCATATGGTACTCTGAAGTCTGGGGCTTAGGACATCTCACAAGTCTACGGGGATGTGAGCTCGAGTTTCTCAGGCTGAAGAGGAAAGTGGGTATTGGGTAAATTTAGTGGGGAATAGTGCCATGCTCTCTTCTAGCTGTATTTTGTAGAATATCTGGTTTGACAAGTGACAAAGAAACAAAAACTCTCTTGTGATTCCCTGAAGGACCTTGGCACCTGCACTGCATAGCCTGTGAAGGGAGATGAGCTCTAGCAAGTGCTGTTGGGGCCAGGAGACGGCACTGCCATCTCCCACAGCCCACCTTTGCCGGGGATTTCTAGCAGACTTAACAATGTAGAGCATGTCCTTGTGTTCATCTCTTCAGGACAAAGCGCAGCCCCTTAGCTCAAACCCATCTTCTGTGCAGGGCTTTGCAGTGGAGGGGGATGTGCAGGTTTGCTCTCCATTCCACCCCATCTGCTAAATCTGGCAGCTGATGGGCAGGCCCAGAGACCCCACCAGTAAAGTTCACCAGAGCTCCTGGGCAAAGCTGGGAGGCTGCCATGCCCATGCATGGCACCAGAAATGGAGGGGTAGATGAACAGTGCCCTGCCATACAGTCTAAAGGGACTCTGTGAGTAACAGTTGTGCCTCTGTATTGGATGTGGGCACGCCTCTGCTCCTCATGAATTCTGCTAGTGGGATGCATCACCTTTCCCCCCC